GGATTACAAATACAGGTAGCTAATTGGTTTTTTATGATATTGCTATCACAGTCACGGATTGTTTATTATCAATTATGACTATCAATAGATATACTTTTTGTATTGTCAGTTAGTGTATTTATAAACTCACAATAATGTACCATACTATCATTGATAATAACAATGCTGTGTACCTGCTAATATCGATGTTATAAAAAATCAATTAGCTACCTGTATTTGTAATATCTTGTGTATTATACCAATACAGAGTGTTCAATAGGTTCGGAAACACCGATTTTTTAACTCAAAAATTTGAAACTTTAAATGTTTATATCTAATAAACAAATTAAGTTTCATTAAAAATTCAAATGCCATTTACTATTGAATTAAAAACTCAAACATTTTATTAAATTAAAAATATGTGTTACCATTTAAAAAAACAAAGTTGACACCCTTACCAGGCATAAGGGATGAACTTAAAAAGTATTACATAGTTAATAATTCAAGAATTATGTGTAACTAAAGATAATAGTAAAAAAAAATTTTTTAATTATTATTATTCTGTAAGTAATTGAGTGGGTTATGATAAAAAAAAATCATTCTGTATACAGGGTGATTTTTTTATTAGAGTGAAAAAACAGGTTTATTTACCAATATAACAATAAGATTAAAATATTGAAACACATAGTGCACTCTAGTAATATCTCCCAACATTAGAAATTCAATATAAGTTTATTGATTTACAAATAAAACTTAAAGGTTTAGAAACCATGATTATTTATACCAATAACAATTGGTTAATTATAAATTATTTTTTCTATTTAGTTTGATAAATATAATTTTTCAATTATCCTTTAATAATAAAATATTTTATTAGTATTATAATATAATAAGCTATATTATAATATAAGCTTTGTCAAGTTTAAGTTTATTAATGTTTCATTTTTAGTTATTAGATAATTTTACGTTGTCCAGTTAACTGTCTAATACATATTGTATTTTTTGGGCTATTACCTGTATAATTAATAATAAATAAATAAATATATTTTAGTCAACGTTAAAAAAATATTATTAAATTTATATCTGTGATAATCATTTTTATTACTATACATTTTTACTTAAATAATTTTATATATTATTTTATTGTTATATTTTATCATGTAAATTATAATTCAATTTTTAGCTTCGATGCGAAGCTGAGAAGGTATTGGTTTTACTAAGATGTGTTTTTTTTTGTGTCTGTTACCACTTTCTCAGCTCTCACCGAACCGATTTCTTTCAATGATACGTCAAAATCTAGTCGAAGACATTACCCTTCAAAATTGAAAAAATTTCCCTCGTTCCCCGTAAATGGGGGAAACCTCCAAAAATATTACAAATTTAAAAATCGCTAATTTTCGAAATTTTTTCAATTTTTTTTACTAAAAACTGCCGTAACTTTTTCAAAAATGAACATATCAATATAATTTTTTTTT